TTGCTGAAAAAATCAAGAGTCTTGGTGCCAAGCACAGGACACGCGACCGGGTCCTTGCTCGCATCAAGGGTACGGTGGTGGACATTTCCCAAAATCCGGGAAGGAAAAACTTCACAAAGGATGAAAAGGCCATGCGTGCTTTAACTACAAGCTCGCAGCTTTACCACTTTGGCAGGGATTGCTGCATCTTACCCAGTGAGATGCTGGCCCTTCAGGGTCACAACCCTGATCGATTTAAAGTCCCACCCAGCATGACACCCATCCAAGTGCGACGTCTGGCTGGCGAAGGAATGGCGCTGCCGTGTCTGGGTATGATTGTAGTGTCGCTTTGCTTGACAAAAGGCTTCCAGAGCCTTGAGTCTATGAGCCTCACCCCTGGCAAAATTGAAACAATAGCTGTAGCTGTAGCTCTAGAAGCAGCTTTACTCCTCCCAGAATGAGCTGAATAGTGGCCACAGTAAGCATGAAGCACCCCAGATTGAACTTCACAATCCTGTTTTCTAATCAAACATACTGATTTTGAATATGTATATGTGGGTAACCTAGTAGGACTGAGCGTTTCCTTGTTTCAGGCTGTTTTCTGCCGGGGATGTCAGCGTGAAGGCAAGCAATGTTTGCTCAGGCTTTAGTCATATGATTTTAGAAATCTGGAGCTGGGTAGGCAAGCACAGGAATCGGCAAAAGATTGCACTGTGAATGGTTTGACTTTTGCATCATGGCTCCATACCAATTCTACTTATGGCATATGGCAATTTCAGGCAATCTACCAGATTTCAGTCAGATCAAGTGTTTTTTCCTTGTGAACCAGTCTTAGATTTTCGGTTGTACCTTAAACCTACACATGATTCAAGGAGCCGTCAAGCCATGACTTGGGCTGGACAGTTTGCCCGAGAGATCTGCTGTTACATTATATACCAAGCCCGAAAGATTTGACAAAGAACCGGAACTTGCAGCTCATACGTTGTGGAGATTTCATTAGAACTACTTTGGTATTGGAGTCGGTAGAACCTAGAACCAATTCATTTACATTGTAGATCAAGCAATAGTCATTGAGTAGAAATGAGAGCAGCCGAGATGTAAGAATGCAAGGTGTTTGATGTAGGATGAGGATCGGTTTTTGTTTGGACTTTCATTTTCAAGTATGATCTGATTCTAGTTTGCTGGTTCCTTGACAAGTAGTTCTTTGTTTGGAGACCTTTGTGCTCAATTCATTTGGCCTGAGATCTGTGTGCACAGTGCCTGTACTGTATCCCTGCTCTTTAATGGGCCGGAAGGACAAGCAACCCAAGTCGCCAAAGACACCTACTCATGCCAAGGCTAAGGCTAAGGCCAAAGCGGCTAAGGCCCCGAAGGCAGCTTTGGTGAAATCCATGAAGAAGGGGAAGCAAGAGGCCAGAAGGCAATCAAGGAGGGAAAAGGAAGGAAAGGGGAAGAGACAGCAGGACTGACTAGTGACTGTGACTAGTTGCCCAGTTGACCAGGGACTATAACCAGTGACTAGTGAGTCAAGTAGATAGAGTTGACTGGGGCTAGCTAGCTGCTAGCTACTACTAGCTGTTACTAGCTGCTAGCTAGCAGCCTGTGTTTGTTGGTGATTGTCCTCTATGCCATATGCCATTATGCCAACATCTTTGTTGCTTGCCCCAGAATCTGTATTTTTAATATCAATATCAGCGGCTTTTAGGTTCAGCCGCACATAGGTTCCAAGGTCAGCATGCCAGTATGCTAGAATCTAGGAATCTAGGGTCTAGGACTCTAGGACCTTAGGACTCAGACTTGGGACCTTGGAATCAATGTCAGGTAGGACCAGATAGGACTCCAATCACATCAACCTGTTCAGGAGGGACCAACGTCACCTACGCGGACTGGGCAAGTTGTGTCATATCATCAACCTCATGCAGTGGAAGTCGTCAAGCCCAAGAAGGGGACGCAAGCTGCTCCACAAGGGGGTAAGTGGCAGCCCTGTTTGATTTGCCTCCAATCACCCAAGGACCTGGTTGTGCTATGTTTCAGAAGCAAAGGAATTGTTTTTCATGCAGCTATGGCACTACTTATACAGTACACCAGTACACTAATCATAGCACCACAATGTACCAGATATGCAGAAATGCAGAAAGCATGCCATAGCAGTAGCTGCCAAACAGCCAAGCTACTAGTTACTAGTTTTAATTACCTAGTCAAGACATCTAGGAATCTAGTAGGTCATTGGATTGTGTCACTTTACCGATGGTACTAAACTGTAGCCTTGAAGTCCCTTTTTGCCTCAGGAAGTTCGCTGGGCAGAGTTTTATGCCAAAGGCAGCCCGATCAAGAACATTTGCCTGCTTGACCTTTTGGTGGTGGTTGAGGGGTTTCTTGGATTGAAGACCGAGGAAGCAGCTGCCAAGTATCATGCAAAGGACTCTAGCGGCAAAGAGTTCAAGATTGAATTTGGGAAAGCCAAGGAAATCAAATCCCAGATGCTTCAAGCTGCTGGTACCAGATTGTTTTCGCCAAGCGGAGCTGTCACCGTGGTGCGTTCCCAACTGCGTACTGTCTACTATGAAGTCGGCTTTTTGAGTGAAAGCGAGTTTGAGAAGATAGTTGGTGCGCCAGCAAAGGATTTCAAGCTCAAGCCAGTCACCCTCCAGATTGAGGATGGTACAAGCCTCAAGGGTCACTACATTTCCCTCCTGGGCCTCAGCCCTGACCAATTGGGCTGGATCAGAAAGATCAAAGCGGAGGAGCAAATCAAAGTGAACTTGGACGAGAAGCTTTGCGCATCACAACTTCAGATAAGGCAGAAGCAGCCTCCAGACCACTGTGATTTAGCCACCAAGGGGCTTTGGGAGAAGGCAGCCAGCCAGATCAAGCCGGCAACACGTCATTCCTTGCCGAAAATCTCTTCTCTCAAGAGAAAAATGGAAGAGACTGAGCAGGAGCCCCACAAAGCATTGTTTTCAGGATTTGTAAGTGTGTGTGTGTACATCAACTTTCCTCTATGAATCTAGACTCTACACAGTAAGTTATATGATATTATAGGCTTTACTATACACATTATATTCAATAGTCAAACAACTAACTAACCTAACAAACAATGATGACTGTCATAGTCCTGGTCCTAGGTCCTAGTCATAGTCATGTCATAAGAAAAATCAAGAATGGTTCTTAGGGCTAAGTCTTAGGGCCATGGATCCTAGGTCCTAGGTGTTGGTGATATAATATAGTATGGTGAGTTTAAAATTTTATGTGATCCTATATAGGTCCTATATCCTCAGAAGCAGTGGATTGGCTTGGCCCTTGCAGGAGAGGATGGAGCGTGAGAAAGCAGAGCTGGAAGCCGCCGCAGATGAGGAAGAGGGCCAGGAGCGGGGTGAGGAGGAAGAGAGGACAGAAGACGAATGTGTAGAGGAAACAGGGGCCTGTTCAATGTACTCTGCTGCGCATACTATCCGCCCTGCCCCACAGATGGCCTCGGTGTTGGGGAGCTTGGCAGAAGTTGCATCTCCCAAGAAGAAACCACAACAAAAGAAGAGGAAAAAGAACGAGGGTGAAGGTGAGCAAGCCAAGGATGGTGAGACTATGGAAGTTGATGCAGGTGAATGCACAGACCCGGATGTTCTTGCAGATCCGCTTTTGAAGATGATGGTGGATTCCTTGGGCGGGCAATGTCCAGCTTGCTTTACCGGGTTGGTTCCAAGCACGGTTCTTCTGAATTTCATCAAGATTGGCAAGCAGCTGAGAGGGGCCGGGAGTTGTGAAAAGCTGTGCAATTAAGGTAAGGTAAAGCTGGTTAAGGTCAAGCAATCAGAATGTAGGTTCTTGTCAGAGTAAGTGAAGTGGCATACTGTTCGGGTTCTACTTAGTCGTCCTTTTCATTTCAGTCCAATTCCAAGTCTGAGTCTAAGTCTTACCCCCTGTAGGCTCGAGACTTGCTGAAGGGGCAGCAGAAGAAGAAGTGGAAGCACTGTGACTCGTTGAAAGCAAGAATTGAGCTTATGGAGCATTGCGCAGCCGTTGCATTTGCCAAGATCGAAGACATGCCAAGGCCAGAGCTACAGGCGCATCTCCACATGATCAATGCCAGTGGTTTCCACCTTTCCTTTGAGACTCGCTGCCCTGTCTTTGAGCGGTTCATGGATGACTGGTTCCAAGACCTCACAGAGGCCAACTGGCAAGAGCAAGGCAGTTCCAATCATTGAGCTCGTTACCCGTGCAATGATGCCATGGAAAACTATGGAAAACTGCTTCTGGAGATGTGAGTGATTTGGAGCCAAAGATTCACGGGATTGTCTCTGCGTGTCTTGAAGACGTGCGACAAAGCAAAAGGAAAGGCGTGATCTCTGCGACGGAGATGGACACACTGTGTGAAGAAAGGCTTGAGGCAAGCTGATGGGGACACATTTCTGTTCAATGAAATCATCTGCCTTCCCATTTTTATATAGAATAATCAGGAATCACTAATAATCAATAATCTTTTGAATCTAGTGAACAATAGACTTAGACAATTATACGGGCTCAAACCAGAGGCACCAAACCTCTTGGCTGCATGCGTGTCTTCAGGATTTGTTTTGGCGTTCAAGACTTTCTCCACAAGTTGGCCCTGTCAACACTCCTTGACAGGCCCTTGGCAAGTGTATGGTAGAGGGCTTTGGATGCAATTCCTTCTTTGAACTTGTGAAGAAGCCCAAAGAATTCAAAGGCAAGATCTTGGGTTTGTGGAATGGCTTTCTGGAGGAGATCGCTAAGGATGGTTGGCCAGCTTCTCAAGAAGACCCTGATCCAGGATCTCCAATAGCTTCTATGCGTCCGGCTCTGTTTGATGCTGTTGTGAGGGTGAGACGTGTTTGCAGGGCTTTTCGATGTCTCCTTTCACCTTTCCATTCCAGCGATGCCTCAGCCGTGAACCTGCTTTTGAAGCAGAAGACCTGGACAAGCTCTTTGGAGAACCTCACGGTGAATGTCTTGAAGCTTGAGTATTACCAGAAGTTGTGGAATGAGGTGCTGGCAAAGGGGCCAACATGTCAGACCCTTGCGCCAAAGGTGGAATCCTTGCTGAGAAGCGTCCAAGAATCACTTGGTTTGAGAGCCTGCAGAGTGCAAGCTCTGAGCTGCCAGCATTGAAGAAAGGCACCAGTGGTGGCATGACCCAGAAATTGGAGGAGGCAACGCTTGCTTCAGCAGAGAAAATTGCACAGGAGATGCTAGAGAACCAGGCTGAAGGCCATACCTCGTCATCTGTGAACACCATCTTGCATACCTTGAATCTCTTTCCCGAAAAGAGTGGGGTACTGCAGCTGGCCAAAAAAGTGGGTAAGCTGAAGGGGAAGGGTGCTGGCAGTCTGGCTTTGCCCGAGCTCAGAGCTCTGTTGAGCAAGTACCCTGAGAAACCACAGGATCATGATGTGTCCAACATTGACGAATGCCTTGGGAAATTCAAGGTTGAACACCTGCTAGAAGCACTGAATAAGTGCAGAGACCAGCAAGTGCTTGATGAGACCAAGCTCAAGGCACAACAAGCGCTTCACCTGCACTTCAAGTTGGTCAAGGCCATTTTCCAGCCGTTCTGTGTTACCTGTCTTGCAAGAGCATGTGTCAATATTTCATTATGTGTTGATATTACTCTCTCTCTCTCTATATATTTGTATGATATATTTTACGTGTTATGTGCATTTGCATTTTATGTCATGTTATGTAATTCCTGCCTAGGATGACTCGGACACAGCCAGAGAAATCCATGACATCACCCTTTATGTCAAGCAAGTGCAAGCGTTGGCAAAAGAGATGTGGGCTGACTCTCCTCTTCACAAGTGGGCTCTTTCGCACATTGACGCTGTGGCTTGTGGGGTTAGCTTCAAAAGCCTCTTGCGTGACTATGTGGACCTTGGGCCAGATGAGAGCACAAGGCAGCTGCGTGACAGCAAGTCAACCAGGTTGTCAGGTTTGGTCTCCAATGCTTTGCAGGTTCACAGTTCGCTTGAGAATTTGCAGAACGAGCTGGCCAAGGTTGCTTCTGGTGTGGAGGACCTTTGCATCCCTGGCCAGGACATTCGAGATCAATCCTCCTCACAGGCACTTGAGGAGCTGCTGCAGGATCCAATCTTTCAGACCACATTGGAACGCCGTTACCAGAAGTTTGCAGAAGACATCAGTGCAGCTGTGTCCCAAATTCAGAAGTTGGGGCAGGGCTACCATGATCCCAAGAGTGAAATGTCTTGGAAGAAGGATTTGGCGAACGATGCTAGCTTGAAGGAGATCCTTGAGCAGGCAGCAAAGACCATCAAGCAACTGGATCCAAAGGCTATTCGAGACGCACAGAAGGCAATGGATCAGGCTTGGTCAGAATCAAAACCTTTTCTTATATACGGGTAACGTGTTGTAGAAAGATCAATGGCAGCACAGTATAGGTTCCCTAGGCCCTAGGCCTAGGCCTCTGCAGACTGGGTCTCAATTGAAGGCATCTAAGAGAATCTAAGCATAAGTAACATGTGAGTGGTCCATCAAGGCAAAAGTCTAGTTAGTTGTCTCTCTTTCTCTCTGTTGGTGAATGTGTGTTCAACATGTCATGAGGTGATAGGTCAAAGGCTTGAAATTGTTCTTTCTCTGTGCAGGCAGTGAAGCAAGCAGTGCCATTTTTCAACCGCTCCTCTGACCTTGCCAAGAATGACGCGGGCCTCCGCTCTGTCATCAAGCGGGCGTCCATCATCACCATGGATCTTGAGGTCATGCTGAGTGAAGGCACCCTGACTGAGGCCCTTGATGGTTCAATGGTGAAAACAAAGGCTGTAGATGCTTGTCGGCAAATTTTGGCTGACATTTCAGGTGGAACCATTTCCGTAGATAAAGTGCACCCTGCATTGTACAGGTATGCTGGAGAATTTGTGTCATAAACCTTTTTGTGAAAGCAGCAGCAGCAGCAACAGCACAGAGCTGAACCCAAGTTAGTGCATGCCGTGTCCTGCATCTAGTTATAGTTACTTTCAGGGGTTTGCCAATTGATGTTTCAATTGTTTACCACCAAGTAGTTTCTATTGATTCTACTATGTGTGAAGTTTACAGTGTGAATCTGTGCACTGACTGTTTGCGCTTCCAATTTTCACTTGGAGACAACCTCAGGCAATTGGATAGGCTGCCGTCAGGCCTTTTTTAAAGTGGCCACAGTAGCTCGATGTCCGAGTGAAGAACTTGAACGATGTCAGATGTGCATATGTTCAATATGGCATCAATATGGAATTTTGTGTGCTCAGAATGTGTTCTTTGCGTGGGTGAACCACTGGTGCAGTTGGCCTTGTTTTGCAGTTTATGCCTATGCAAAGCTCATCTGAGTCTGATGGGCGGGGTAAGGGTGAGGTCTTGGGTGGGTAGCTACAGTAGTTCAGTACTCACAATGGAAACCAAAGAAGCACATAACACAATATAACGCAATTTACAAACATGCATACTAACATGCATAACAAAACCACAACAAAACACATGTTAAACCCATATTCCTAAAACAATCCAGCTATTCAACACCACATCCAAAGCATTTCAAAACTATATCAGAAAGACTAATCAACAAAAGCAAAGCAATATTGAAATCATATCCAAAATATGCTGAAAAGATAACAACTTTTCTGAACCATATCAAAACCATATCGCTAAATCATGTCCCAAACATATCAAAAACATACAAGAAAATAATCCAACTTTTGGCCTTGTGGCTGACATGCAATGTCCTAATGCTAAAGGTTTTGTTTGGCAAGGGACTACATTGACTACTACATGTTTGCATCAATGCACGTTGTCGGCTCAGATTTGCTCCAACGATTCCTGGAAGCCGGTGGCTACAGCAAATTTGGCACACTCAGTTTTTCAGAGGGCA